TTATGCAAAATGGTAAAAAAGATGACCTATTAGATTTGATATACTCTAAGATATTGAATTCATTTTTTAAGAATTAACAATGATTATAAGTCATTATATTAATGCCAAATATAAATGTAATAAAGAAATATAATAAAGAAATCGATTTTTCTTGGTGGATACTTGTAGTATAGATTGGCGATTCTCAATGCGTAGAAAATCACAAAAGTACATCGAAACTTCTATTGTAGAGCAATGGCTAAGAAAAAAAAAGAAGCATGAAAAGGAAGTAAATAATGTCGATAATCAATTAGATAGACATATGCATAATGATATTCGATTGGTAGAAATGAAAAAAAAAATTGATTAAACTACGAGATGCACATCTGGAAATCAAATTCATGTTACGTAAGATTTACAATACTGCATATATCGTGTCGCGTGTCGCATGTGTTTAGACAGTAAATACATTTTTTATTTTAGAGTTTTGGAACTAGGCTGTGATACATAATGTTTATATTTTTCTTGATTTCTTCTACCGTTTTCATGTCATAAACGTTCTGACCTGACCTGTTATAAACAGAAGAGTGCGGATTTATCTAATAATAATGGAAGTCATAGCTAGTTTCTCCTCCGAAATATGTAGACCTTTACTAACAACAAAGATAGGGTGCCTGAATAGAGAGCTTGGAATGGTTACCAAACGGTCATATCCAGTAATTCCCCTAAATCAAACTAGGAATCCCTCAGCTCGACTAGAAGTTACCCTTACTTTGCAAGATAATAAATGACGCACCTTATCCTCTAGTGTAATAAACTTACTTTTATCTATTTTCCTCGCCTCATATAAAAAACGACTAACCCAAGTATTATTGAGGTCTTGCCAGCAGGAAGTAGGTGAAGTCAATGACGAGGTAATGATCACTTCTCGGAAACGGGAAATAAAACCCCAGAAAGATGTATATGTAGTCAAATATGATAAAAGCTCATCACGACCGACATAAATTTCATCAGAAACAGAAGACATATTGATTTTATAGGTTTTAAAGATATAAAG